ATTTTACCCTTTTGCCCTTGTCATTGGGATGGGTTGGTCTGTTCCCTGTTATCTGTGGAATGTTCCAGTATGGTATGTCTTGGTACCATGTTTATACTATAACTATGCTAAATGAATATATATTTCTGCAACATCAGCCCTTTCCTTGCCAACTTCTGTGAGCAGGGCCTGCCTTTTGCTCACAGCTTAACTTTGCTTTCTATGCTAGCAAAGCCTTGACCATTACTTTAGTTTGGTTCAGGCCTCATACTGGGCCTTCATTAGGCCTTTACTATGTTGCCTTCACTTACTACAACTATCATTGCGTGATGTATGTACAGATGGCGTGTAAAGAGCTGTGTGCCCGTGCTGGGAATACTTTACTAAAATACGTTTTGGGGGCAGACTTGACAAACAAGTTTGCCCAAGACAAAGGAACGTTGGTTTGCCTGTGTCTCCAAAGTAAACTGAGCACGGAGATGCCCGAGACAATGAAAGTTACATTGACATACAAATCAACAGGGGGGACTGGGAAGTGACCAGGAAGAAAAACACAGCAGAGGAGAAGAACTTTATCTGGGGACACACATTTCAAAGGTTTACTAGACTATAAAAAGAAGGGGAGAGAACCCCTTATGTATCCATCACTTAAGGAACAAAAGAGGCCAGAACTCTTGGAATCTGTGAAAGGTGGATCCTTCAACCGTGTGGGTCGAAGACTCTGGGAACTGATTGTAGGTGAGAAAGGACCAGGACTGTGAACTGTTAAGTTGTAGACACTAGAAAGCATGTTTTTACTTTTGTTTTATTTGTATCCATACCGGTCTCTTTTTCTCTTGCTTAGTGCCACTTAAATCTATGTTCATTATTAATAAACTTGTTTTTACTGTAAAACCATCTCCGTGCTGTGTATAAAGGTAAAGAGCACATCCTCAGGGAGCCAACAGGCTGGTGTACACTCTGTCTCTTTGGAGACAGCAGACTTAATAAATTCTGTGTTTGCCAGTGAGAGGGACTGGACACTGCAGAGACGTCTCTGGGGACCTCGGGAGCACCGGATGTTACCTGAAAGGCAAGGTTAAGACTGGCAGAGTCTCAGGTTGTTGACTGGTGAGGCTACCAAAACTGGTGTGTCATAGTTTAAGCCAGGGCAAAGTTCTCCCTTGGTGAGGTAACACAGTGGTTTATGGTTCACAGCTCCTTGGGGAGTGCATTACACGTACTAAACAAACAATTACAATTAGCATTGGCAGCTGCGCCTACGGGCAGGCGTATAAAACAAATTAATTTTGGCTTTATCATCTCCTTGATTAGTCATTATATACCCATTAGCAACAATCTTAAGGTGATTTGTGACAAATCTATTTATTTCTGAAAGGCAGCAATAATCAAGTACTTCTGCTGAGTGGAGAAGATCACAACTCAGTTTTCCGTCAGAAAATGCCATTTCAACAAAATCCAATTTTTTCATTGAAACGTATCTATTTCAACCAAATTTTCGAAGATGTCAAAACAGGACATTTTGGGAATGAAAAGTTTCAATTTTTCATCTCAAAAAGACTTTTCATTTTGAAATTTATTTTGCATAAAAACCAATTAACATAAAAAAACCCCGAAATCTAAATGACATTTCAGTTGACATGAGATGATTTTTTCCTTCAAAATTTTGTTTTGCAAACAAATTTGACATTTCTGGGGACAAAAAAAAAAGATTTTTGTGGGATGGAAAATCAGTTTTCCAAACAGATCTCCAAAGAAACAGCCAATCTCATTCTGTTTACACACAAATCTCATTCTGTTTGGGAATTTGTCCTTTCTCCTCTCATGTACATCTCTTAAACACATGACACTAGAAGCCCCTATAGTGTCACCCATTACTAGACATTTGTAATTTGGTGCAGCATGATAAAAATCACCAGAAGAGACTGAATTGTAAATGTACATGTGGCTACATTTCATCTAAAGCAAATTAATAAATGAGACATTAGCAGCTGCTCCGAATGTTAATTCAGTATGCCTACAGCAAAAACACTTGAAGCCTATTCCTGTCTTTCCTTAGAACATTGCATATGAACTGCTATGTGCTTTTAGCTATCTGAGGAGGAAAAACACGGCCTCAAGATACACAAAAGCTATTTAGAATGTCATTATGATTATACTCCTTACGCTATAAACTCTGCTGACTAATTATGTCACTAGAAAGTTACTGCAATACTCCATGCCACGCAAAAACAAGCATGATTTTCCAAAAAAATAAATAAAATAAAGATGTTCAAAATGTATTACTGCATGTCAGCAAGCAAACTTAAGTACAACAGGCAAGACCATCTGTACAAGTAGCCACACCGAATATGACCAAAAATATCTATCATTAAACATCAAAGAGAAATATATGACATGAAGACACCAGGGTTACTCCTTTACTTATGAGTTTGACCTTTCAAAATAACCTAAAATGTAAGTCAATATACACATAATGCGTGTGAGGGACAAAAAACGTTTTGAAATTCTGTGAGAAGATACTTTAACCCTACCCCCAAAACCAAGCACTATATTTTACCTGGCCTGGGAAGTAAGACCAAGACCCAAATTCCATACAGAATGCAGCATTGTATTAGGAAGGACAATAGAAGAGAAAGCATGACAGAAAGAGTTCTCTGCATGGACACTCCATAGACACGCATGTGCTTCAGAGTATTGTCAAGTCTAATGCCTTGATTCAGGCCAGTGTGTAAACCCATGTTTAATTTTAGGCATGCACTTAGTGCTGTCCTGAATAGAGATGCTTTCCTGAATTGCCGGCTGTTGTGGGATCACACACTTATTCAATAGTAGCTAAAAGCATCTTGGATTTTCAAACTAGAGCTCTCTCATCTGATAGTTTGGCCCAGATTTACTTTATCATATGGCTCTGTATCGAACACGCATTGCTGAAGTTAAAATGCCCTGGGAAGTCGTACACATATTTTAAACTCCAGATACGAGCATCATAGATATTTTGTTTCTGAATACAATATAGTGCAAAATCCTCAGCAGAATATATCTCTGCAGAGTATATGCATGTAGTGGGTTTCTTGACTGATTTAAGGTTTCATTTTAAAAAGTTGGATTGGTATACCTACATTTATCAATTAACTTTAATGAGAAGTAACATTCAGCAACAAATTTAACCAAGTGGTAAGTACAGCATGGTATATACAACATGTGAATTGTATTTAAGATTATAACAATTCACGTTTGCCTTGTATCATCAATTAGGAGGAATTTCCCCTTCTTCTTCTTCAGCGGGGGGGAGGGATAGCTCAGTGGTTTGAGCATTGGCCTGCTAAACCCAGGGTTGTGAGTTCAATCCTTGAGGGGGCCACTTAGGGATCTGGGGCAAAATCAGTACTTGGTCCTGCTAGTGAAGGCAGGGGGCTGGACTCGATGACCTTTCAAGGTCCCTTCCAGTTCTAGGAGATAGGATATCTCCATTAATTTATTTATTTATTTATTTATTTATTTCTCTACCCTTGAGGCCCCTTCATCCCCCACTGATGTACTGAACGACATCTTCAAACACATACACAATAACTCATGTCAGACTGCCTCCCTCCACAGAGTACTGTTCATCTTCTGGTAGCTCACTGGTTTGAGCATTGGCCTGCTCAACCCAGGTGAGTTCAATCCTTGAGGGGGCCACTTAGGGATCTGGGGGAAAAAATCAGTACTTGGTTCTGCTAGTGAAGGCAGGGGGCTGGACTTGATGACCTTTTGGGGTCCCGTCTAGCTCTATGAAATAGGTATCTCTCCATATATTTTATTTCTGCACTCGTTGAGACAGGGAGCCCGTGGAAAAAATACTGTCGTCTAGTATCGTGTTGCTTAGGTACAAAGAAAGAAGTTAAGGTTGCATCATTTCCTGACTTTTGAGTACTTCACTTTACGATCTTGCTGTTCTTTTAATGTAGTTGGTTTTGTATGAACTATCTAAATATGTGTCTGTGTAACTTTACATTACACACATAAGGCTAAAATTATTTTCTCTGTGCACTGTTATAGTTACACTTTATAGTCAATACCTATTATTTTCTGTTCTCAATCCAGAGGGTTGGAGAAGATTTAATTTTTTTTGGTCAGTAATATAGTCCTTGAATGTATTACTCTTACGCAGTACACACATGTGAAGTGCTATTTTCCCCATGTACTTTGTAATGTATATGAGCATGAACAGTAGATTTTCATTATCCTAACTCTTGAGAAAAATATACTGCTTGAGCATACTGATATCAAACTGTAATGGGGAGAGAACTGGATAATGTTTTATAATATTGATAACTGTCACAGTATTTCTGAATATAAATAATTAGGGTTTACTTAATCTATGATTATGACTGTTTGTGCTGGTATCAAAGACAAATCAAAGGATCTTTCAAGCACAATCAAAGATGGATATAAAACAGTGGTGGATTGCGCTTACTGAAAGTGATGTTGAAGAATTGTTGAATTCACTAATTACATACAGAGGTTATTTCTTTTTCTTGGTGCTCTTAGAGGAGGGTTTTTGTGGGGGTTTTGTTTGTTTTTGGTGTTTATGATCAAACAGATTGTATTAAATAAATAAATCCATTGTAATAAATTAATACATCCATGGGAGCTCATAAATACACACACACACACACACACACACACACACACACACACTCCAGTACAAAGTTGTACAAAGAAAATTCTGGACACTGAGTATTTGTAATGTGAATTTTTCCCTGCTTTATACTACTGTACATACTTGTACAAATGCCACCAGCTGCCATATATCCTAGATCAGCGATTTTAATATCAAAGTTAGTGGAAAAGAAGTAAATTTTGAAACCATGACCAAGTGCTTCCCAAACATTGTACTTCTGATTGCCTCTAGCATGCTATTTACTGTAAAAATCTGGCAGACTAACACTCGTCACATGGCTATGACTGTAACCTGATGTTTTGTTTTCCATTTTTGGAAGCACCATGTGACCGAGTACCCTCCCTGCATGCCCCCTTATGGGGGTGGGGCAGTGGTTCTGCCTCTGTCCTCCGGGTCTCCAGCTGATCCCCCCTGCCTCTGGCGCATTCCCAGTTGAGGTGACTTAGCCCTCTGACAAGGTCCACCCCTTCTGGGGCTCCCCAAATCCAGAACAAACAAAGAAAAGTAAACTCTTCTGTCCCTGCTGGGCTCAATCCTCACCACACTCGTCAGCCCTGCTGGGCTCTGCAGTGTCCAGGGCCGGCTCCAGACACCAGCAAAACACGCAGGTGCTTGGGGTGGCGCATTTCTAGCGGCGGCATTCTGGCGCCGGCCATCATAGACACCGACTCCGGGGCATGGGGAAAAAGTGCCCCCGCCACCCCAGCTCGCCTCCATTACACCTCCACCTGCTCCCCTGCTGCCGCTTCTCCCCCCTCCCTCTCAGGCTTGCCGGGCGCAAAACAGCTGTTTCATGCAGCAAGGCTGGAAGGGAGGAGAAGCCAAGCGGCGGGCGGTCGGGGGAGGCAGCGGTGGCGGAGCGGGGAGCGGTTCCTCTACCCCCCGTTACTTCCTGCGCCCCCCTCCTTAACTCACCCTCCACTCTGCCTGCTCCCCTGAACGCGCTGCTGCTCCGCTTCTCCCCCTCCCTCGCCTGAGAGGGAGGGGGGAGAAGCCTAAGAGTGAGGGGGGAGAAGCGGAGCGGCGGTGCGCCCGGGGGAATGCGGCACACCCGGGGGAGGAGGCGGGGCTGGGGATTTGGGGAAGGGGTTTGGAAGGGGTGGAGTTGGGGCGGGACCGGGGGCAGGGGGCCACAAAAAAAAGGGGGGTCAGCCAACATTTTTTTTGCTTGAGGCGGCAAAAATCCCAGGAAACTGCACACTTCCAAACTCGCCAGGGCTCATGCAAGCCTAAGTCAGTTGCTGGCAGCTAAAGAAGGCAACCGGCTCCTGCCAGGCCTAGCTTTCCACAGTCTGTCTTGGTTCCTGGCCCCAGGCAGCCTGCTCTCCCGCAGTGAAAACTGCAGATCTGCTCTGCCTCCTGCCAGGGTCCACCCGAGCTGGGCTCTCCCTTTTGAGCACTTCCCTCAAAGCCTCAAACTTGCTTCAGGCAGGGCTGTTTCACCCGCCCAAAAAAGCAGGCCATTAACTCTTTCCTGGCGTGTGGGGTGTGTGCACTATATACCACTATTTGTGAATGCCGGTAGCGTTGTTATATCATATACAGACCCTGCATATGTGGTACTACAAACATTCAGTCCACAAAGGTTTTTCCTGAGATTACCTGCTATTAAATTTGCCTGGTTCTTCTTCTCTAGCATGGTGAAAGCCCAAGCTCAATTCTGCATCAATTCCAAGGCCACAATAGTTGTTCATTTGTACAATCTGAAAAACAAAACAAAAATAGCAGTATACTATGGTATACCATTGAGACTCAAACGTACGCAGCAGAGGGTCCCGTATTGGTATTGAAAATTTGCAGTGAAATGGACATTTGTAGATTTTTGAAGTCACTGCACACAAAGCAATTTAGGAGTACATTTTCTCTCACAGATAGCCCCAGTACAAAACACAACATTAAAATGAAGATATGAGAGTATTTGAGAGCATTTATCAGTAACTTCTAGGTGAAAAACACTGCAAGGATATTGTAATTATCCCTAAACCAAGCATTCCAAACCCAGGACATTAGCAATTAATAAGGTTATATGTAAAAGAAATCCAAATATGGTCAAGCATCGAACTGCAGAGTTACAGTACCCAAACAATCTTAGCTTCACCTAGTGCTACCATTTAATAACCATATGACTATGACTGACAAATTGTAGTGTTCATTGTCCCAGATTAAACCAATTTCCAAAGACATTCATTTTTTTCATATTTCCCTTCCTGGTGTCACTATAGGGGAGAACTTGGCAACTTGTTTGTGTGTGGAAGGAAGCATTAAACAGTATCACCCGTGGATTTACCATCACATTATGCAGCCTTCGTTTCTTTATCCGGAAAGATAATCTAAACACACCAGACCAGAAGACGGAACCAGAGAACACCAACATTTTCACATCTGTGTCCTGAGCAACTCTTGTGGTGTGAACCTAATGTTTCTATTATTAAATCCTCCCCAGCGTGTCAGTTTCAACCACAGCATTTTTCCTCCTGGCACATACACATTCTCTCTCTCTCTGCCTTCCATCTTTAGACAATTTAGACAGCCAGGACAAATCTATCCTGTTATGAACGAGCGGTAAGCGAACCACAATGACTTCACCGCCTGATTCTGCTTAAAAATGAGGCAGATCCTTGAGTGGCTAATAAAGTCACAAGCCATGTACTGAGCCTGGGGTGTTCCAGCAACTGAACTGCAAAGACAGAAGCTCCATTTTTTTGTAATCGTCTGCTATTCTTCTCTTTTTCTTGTGCCTTGTTTTGTCTTAAAACAAGAACCAGACTTTAAACAACAAATCCCAGGGTTACATCTGCAAACGACATTCTCCCTGTCCCAAACAAAGAGATCTGATGTCACGAGAGCCTGTCAAGCAAGATTTTCTCTTAAAAGACACCATACGCAAACAGGGAAAGAGATACGGTAGATTGTTCAATTAAAGTTTTACTGAACCGAACCTTAGTGATGTCTAGCAGAACTTTAACAACCAACTTTCTGGATTGTTTAACAAAGTGTAAGGATTCCAGTTCCATTATAGGGGTCTGAAATGTAGCTTTGATCATCCTCTCAGCAGAGCCTATTCTCTCCTGAGCTGGGAACCCATTCCTTCCCAACCTCAGAAAGCAGACACGACTACTGTTAATCAGTCAGACATGCTTTGTGCCCGAGAAATAATTAATATCTTAAGTGTCCATAAAGAATATATTGTGTAACTAATCTCTGACTTCAAGCGTTTTTAGAACTGTACTCAAAGAAGCACGTCAGGTTTACCTTTCCTCACACACAGGTTTAGTGACTGAGCTAAGGGCAGGTCTTCACTACCCGCCAGATTTGCGGTTAGTGATCGATCTATCGGGGATCGATTTATCGTGTCTAGCGTAGACGACTCCGGAACTCCACCACTGCCGAGAGGCGAAGCGGAGTTGACGGGGGAGCGGCGGCAGTCGACCCCGCACCGTGAGGACGCGAGGTAAGTCGATGTAAGATGCGTCGACTTCAGCTACGCTATTCTCGTAGCTGAAGTTGAATATCTTAGATTGATCCCCCCCCACCCAGTGTAGACCAGGGCTAAGTCATATAGAATTATTACCGTAACACCCAAAGGTGTGTTGAAATAAAAGACAAATCACAAGCAGCTCTGGTACACTATAATCTCATTCATCCTGGAATAAACCAGTAGCTTTTAGAAATCAAAACGGTGAAATACCTTTGGAGGATCAGGTTCCAAAATACCATTCTCTGCACTTTCAACAGCCTCCTGAGCATCTAAAAGGATGGTCCAGCGATCCATCAGTACATCGTCAGCTTCATCTACAGATATCAGAATAGAGTAGGGATCTTCCCCACTATAGCCAGCTCCCCAGCGAAGCACCCTCCCTAAATCGTTACCTGGACAGGGAAAGAGCAAACTGTCAACTTGTTTAATCAACCAACTGACGGTGTGAAAGATAAATACTTGCCATTGCTCCAACCACAAGGGTACTAGTCAGACAGTGATCACAACTTCCCAGCAGTAAAACTGAACTGAAAATGTAACTTTAGCATACATGAAAAGCCTGTAAGTAAATGTTGTCTTTGCTGTTCTGTAAGTAAATTATTAAATATATCATATACTGCTTTATGTAAGAGACACACACAAAATAGGAATATTTATACAGCATCACCTGAAAATTTCCTCTCACAGTAATAAGGTCGGGAGATCTGTTATAAAGGGTGCACCGAACTGTTAAATTTCAGACTGCTTGTGGATGTGCAACTGTTAGTCAGAACTTTGAAACAAAAATGGGGGGATTCTTCTAAGAAAACCTCGGTAGCAGGAAGGGGGGGTTGAGCCCTGCACCTGGCACTAGGAAGGCAAAGGAAAATGATGGAGTTGGGGAACTCCCCAGCTGCCAGCAAAGGTCATGTCTGTTTCTGTCCTCAAGCTGCAAGCAGGCTGAAGTACCAAGTCTGTTGGCCGTTGCACAATGGAGAAAGTGTTGGCTACACTAGGTAGCCAGGCTCTGCCTGAAACAGAAGAGCTCATGCTGTTGACAGCCAGGCCTTATCTGTAAGCAATATGTTGCCACCCCACAGTGGTGAAGTAAATTCATTAGAATGTTCTGCGTCCTGGTCACAGGCAGAATCCTGGCCAAGGCATTTAGCATACTGTCACGCACGATTTGCCTATTTGTGAATTTCGTTCCCAACTGTATTTTGTTAGCACAGTTAAGCACACGCATTTCATGAAAGGTTTTCTGCATCTAGATAAATACATTACCATGAGATACTGGCTGTATACTATGAATACGTGGCATGAAACCATTGTTCCTTATGACTGCATGTGGATACAAACTCGGAATAAGCGACCATGTGGGCAAGGCACTGGCATAAAACAACTTGACAAAATAAAGTGAATTCATAAAGGACACGGAGGAAGAAAAGTAAGTTGTTGGGTACTGAAGATGACACGTCACTTTATATGATCAATATTCCCCCCCAATGGGTGAAGAGAGACCAGATCTGCCTTTTAGTTCCTCATGCTGTCCGTTAATCCACGTTTCAGTTGTTAATTATTTTCTGCATGCAATAGGTTGAAGATCCTCAGTTTTGTTCCTTTTTTTCTTAATAAGCCTGTGAACTCATGGTGAGCTGATAAACCACAGAATGAGTGTGGGAAAAATAAGAGTTAATCACTTGCATCTGATAAGTTGTCTGAGTGCTACGGGAAGATTAGTTTATTCTGCTTTTCTCAATTCAGATTCCTAATTTCTCATTTTAAGTTTACATGAATGCTAATGAATTTTCCCCTAACCAATGCTTCTGACAGTGATCAAGAGAATTCGTTAAAAACTAATTAGTCTCAATACATTTCCAGCATCACAGATTCTCGATCAAATTAATCAGATTTCAATTCGTTAAGGATGTACAAAAGTTTTCATGTCTAATTTTACTATAGAAGAATCTTGCCTATAATCGTATTCAGTCAGTGAGATAGCCCCTAAATCAATGTGGAATAACTCTCAGGTGTATTCTACAGGAGGGGAGAAACACTCTGGCCTTTTCTTAGATGTAATTCTACAGTAATCATAAGGGTGGTGTGACAAAGTTCCTCCTCTGCCTTGGTGGGTCCTGCGCTTATTGGCGGATGTGTTCGCCTCAGAGGTTCACGGAAGCCCTCAGTTTGGCCACTTTTGCTAGTGGCTCAAACCTGCCATTCACTCTGCTCACCTCATCACTGGCCAGCATGGGGGAAAGGGAGAACAATCCCCACAGTCTCTGTAGTCCCACCTAGTGGGTCGGGGGACAGGCCAGGGACCTTCCCCTCTGGTGGGACCCACAGTCCAGGTCAACTCCTCTTGTATCCAATGGGGGGAGGGGGTGGGGGAAACCCGGGCCCACCCTCTATTCCGGGTTCCAGCCCAGGGCCCTGTGGATCACAACTGTCTACAGTGTTTCGTGTAACACCTGGGCTACTTCCCCATGGCCTCCTCCCAACACCTTCTGTATCCTCACCACAGGACCTTCCTCCTGATGCCAGATAGCGTTTGTACTCCTCAGTCCTCCAGCAGCACGCCCTCTCACTCTCAGCTCCTTGCACGGCCCTCACTGACTGAAGTGAGGTCCTTTTTAAAGCAGGTGCCCTGATTAGCCTGCCTGTCTTAACTGATTCTAGCAAGTTCCTGATTTTTCTGGAACCGCCCATTACTTTATCCAGGGAAAAGGGGCCTGCTTAATCTGGGGCTAATAAATCTGCCTTCTATCACTCTCCTGTAGCCATCTGGCCCGACTCTGTCACAGCGGGAGGACTGGAGAACTAGGCAGTCACTGGGGTAAGAGGGAGTGGGACAGGTCACTTACTGGAGGGAGGGCTGTAGCGTATGGGAAGGAAGGAAAACAGAGCCCTAACCTAGGTGAACAAGCAAGAGGAGGAGAGAGTGGCTGACACTCACCACTAGCGGCTAGACAGAGTAAAGACGAGCCGGTTAGAGAGAGAACAGATCCCACTATTACACTGGGATTGCAAAGCAACTGGAGTGCTGCTGCCTCTGGTCAGGCCCTTAGGCAGCAGCCAGTGTGTTTCTGGAAACCTGAATAGAAATTAATGAGAACATCTGGTTTATCTGGACTTCCACACCCCTAGGTTCATACCACTTCCATTTGCGTGGCTCTCTGGTGACCCTTTGGCAGAGTGGTTCTCAACCTATTTACCATTGTGGGCAGCATATGTAGCTCTCTGTGTGTTATGTGGGCTCCATCCACACAATAGATACACTGCCTGTATGGCCCTGAGGATGTCACATGGGCCGTAGCTGTGTGCTGATTGGGCCAGAAGCAGCCTGCGGGCTGAGAACCATTGCTTTGGCCAATGCCGTAAGCACCACTGAGCGGTTCTGAACAGAGGATTGCCGCAACCTTAGAGCCTTTTGAGGGCAGGATGGAAGAATCAAAGAATAATGATGATGAAATGGTCTTCGTTTCCCTCCTGGATGCACGCCGATTGCTTCAATGTAACATAAGAAACTAAAACAAAATGCCATTCAGGCTACAAAGCCAGTCACGGATGCCATGTGATGAGAAAAATCAACACGAAAAGAAAAACTACTAATTTTTGAGCATGCTTAATAGCTTCCCATTAACATTCCTCAAATCAACCCCGTTCCATACTGTTATTTCTCACCTGTTCCTAAAGGTAAGATGGCTACAGAGGGCTCTGAACAGACGAGCATGTGTCTGATTTCCTCCAGCGCACCAAGGACCCAACCAACTGTGCCGTCACCACCGCACACCAGCACTCGGAAATAGGGAACTTGAGAGAATGTATGAAATCTTCATTTAAAAACAAAAGCATAAGAAATAATATTACACTGTGATGCAGAAAATTAATTAGGCCTCCCATAATATTCTCTTTAAAATAACACAATTGAGTTCTTAGTCATTATTGCTTTTTCCTTCCCTCGCTTTAGAGTTTCGATTAAGAAAAGCTGATAAAATGGACAACAAAACTTAGAACTATCAGAGGAGTTTTCTGCCTAACAAACTTGAAGTTATATTTCTCACGATGTTTCCCCATAGCCAAAGATGGTAGTTGAGTTCTCTCCCACAGGGAATTAACAAGACAGAGACACAAAAAGGTCTACATTTTAAAAATGTGTTTATTTGTGTTTTCATTGACACATCTGTAATTCTGTTTGTCACTTGGGATTTCTATCTGGTTTTAAATGGAAGTTTACAACACCATTGTCATTCACATTGAATGCAGTATTTGGTTATTAAACAGTGTGCATTTCCTTGTCCGCTAGCATATACTGCTGGGACTGAAAAAAACCCAGAAGGGGGTGTTTCTGTACTACTCTGGATTTGTAAAAACTGAGATTCTAAATAGGATCCCATTCGCACAACACTTTCAGCCCTACCAATCAAGGCACTTTACAATGGAGTTTATCGTTCTTCCCATTTTACAGGTGGAAAACTGAGGCTCAGAGAGGTGAAGTGTCTTGCCTATAGTAACAGAGAAATACTGCAGCCAACAATAGGTTCTATGGGCATAACACTGACAGTCATGCTGTAGGAACCAGCCTAAATGAACCATGGTCCTGAAAAAGTTAGAAGACCTATATTGCTTATTTTTTACTGCTTCTTTGTTATGGACTGTTGAACCCACTTGCACTGGATGAATGTAAAATAATAAAGTTAACCTTTTGAGAGTTTTATTTCAAGGCACTGGAGTCAATTTAAGTAGTACAAAAATAAACAATAACGTAGTAGGATTTAAAAAACACGTTTTTCTATTACAATAAGCAGGCAATACTATTACTCACTGGTAACTAAACTGTGTTTTTAAAAAACCAGTAACACATTGCTTTTGTTTTTCCCATCACATTTCTTCTTACGTCTTAGAAATGGCATTACCATTTCTGAATAATCAGGTCCTCTTAAATTTCTGCAACTGTAGACAAATTCCAAGAGTAGAAATAGAGACATTTATTACACCCTTCTATTACCTGACGTTAAGAATGGTTGGAAATAGTGGCAAAAATTACGACTTGGCAGCCGTGTTGCTCAAAGCCCTCTCTTTCCTCCCTTCCTTCTCCATCAATTGTGTTAACCACCAGTAGTTATTTGCATTGTGGTGATGTGCACATGCTCCCATCAGGATCTGGACCCTACTGTGCTAGACACATCAGAAACAATTCTGTCCTCTCCTCTTTGTGAAATGTGAACATTTTCCATTTGTTTTTAAAATAAGGACCACAATTTCTAAGAGAGGCCCTGCAGTGTAATTCTCACACGTGCAATACAGAAGTAAATAAAATGAGTTGGAGGAAATTTTAGCTATTTTATGTGTGTGTGACAGAGCGAGAGATCTAACAAGTATCGGTAAATTACTATTTTGGTGATACTCTTCCATTCACTAAAGAACTATTGTGATAAAAGATTTACCCAGGCAGTGGACCTCCATTAGTGAGTTCAAAGACCTGATGAGGATTTAGCAGTTTTCTAAAACTGTAGAGTAGATCTCGGCCTTTCAAACCTCCACTTTTGGGATTCACAAACACAAGTAGTGGACAGCAGTTCTGTGGTAGCTTGGTATGCTGGAAAATGCAAAGAGGTGTTAGAACAAATGTGTACATGTTAGATTATTACAGTATTCCAAGAATATCCACTCACAGTCCTTTAGTAAAAAAACCCACAATCAACTGGTAATAGTGTAGCTTGAATGCATATTTGATTTTGCTTTTTGGAAAACTGAAGACGTAAAGTTAGCTTGGCCATGTGGTAAAAATGAAGACATTACATGACACAATATTTCCAAGGTCTGCATATCAGGTTCAGTGTCTATTGACTTTAGAAAGCACCATTTCAATAATCTGAGTCCATTGAATTCAAGCAGCAAAGCCTTTCCACTGGGGCTCTAAATACTTTTACAAAAAAAAAAAAAAAAAAGAAAATCATGAATGGCCCTGTATGGAGCCTGAAGTCTAGGAAAACAGCAATTGCCAATCTGGATCACAGTCATGATCCAACTAATACAGCATCCTGTCTCCACGAGTGATCAGTGCCAGATGCTTCAGAGGAAGGTGCAAGGGTGGGGCTAGAGAATGATCTACCAATGGGAAATATTTTTTCCTCAACCCCATCAGTGACAGATTGGCTCATTATCCCATACAAATCTGGGGGATTTTGGGGGGGGGGTCCCCTTGATAATATAACTGTTACATTAGGCTCCATGCCTCTCTTGCCACGAAGCCCATGGAGCCTCCACTGCCTGTCAGCGTAGGCTTGAAATGTAAAGGTCTGTCACACTGTTGCCCTGGATTTGCGGGGTGTGTCTGCCCCAGAATGTGATCAAGCTAATTGTGACCATATTATGTGCATTCAGCCACCCTGAATTAATGGAACAGACCACCACGTAGTTAAGGGTTAATTTAGAGACAGGCTTTTAGAAACAAGGTCATATCTAGTTCGCAGTTTCTGCACATCAGAATGGGTGGAGGGGACAGACAAGTAAATAGCTAAGACTGAAAACCTTGGTGGTTGGAAAACCTTGAGTCTAGACGCCTCTGATATTAAAAGTTGATTGAAAGTTAGAAAAGTGATGATGCAGTAGGGGTCATTATGACCTATGTGTTTTGTAGAAGTTAGTTATAAAAGATCAGCTAATAGAGTGTACTTAGGAAAAAACATTTCTTAAGATGGCTTCCCAACACCCTTTCTCCCCGGTGGGTGAGCAACTGGTCAGCGCGAACGTGCTGTTAATTACTCAATACTGTTTCAGATGTTAGGTAAATATCTGGAATGTTCTAAACCAGGGGTCTCAAACACATGGCCTGCGGGACTATTTCCTGCGGTCCGCCAAGTGGCCCGTGCGCCTCTCCCACCCCTGGGCTACCTCCAGGCCAGGGGTGGGCAAACTACACCTGCGGGATTGCCCCCCTCGAGCCCCGCGCATCACATCCCTGCATCCGGGGGAGGGGCGGGAAAGCAGAGGGCTCTGTGTGTTGCCCTGGTTTCCAGGCACCGCCCCTCCCCCCCCCCGCAGTTCCCATTGGCCAGGAACGGGGAACCGCGGCCAATGGGAACTTTGGGGGAGGTACCTGGAGGCGCAGCAAGCAGCGTGCGGAGCCCTGCGTCCCACTCCCCCAGGGGCCGCAGGGACATGGTTCCAGCTACTTCCCGGAGCAGAATGGAGCCGGAGCCTGCCCTGGCCCCAGTGTGCGCAGCTGCCACCCTGGAGCCCTCCTGCACCTCGCCCCCCAACTCCATGCCCTGAGGCCCCTGCTGCATTCCACACCCCCTCTGCACCCCAATCCCCTGCCCTGAGCCCCGTCTGCACCCCAACCTCCGCTGCACCCCAACTCCCTGCCCTGAGCCCCCTGCCTGCACCTCAACCCCCTGCCCTGAGCCCCCTGCTGCATCCCACACCCCTTCTGCACCGCAATCCCCTGCCTGAACCCCAACCCCCTGCCGCACCTCAACTCCCTGCCCTGAGCCCCCGCCACACCCCTCATGCCCCCTCTGGGGGCAGGGAGGGGGCAGAGTTGGGGTGGGGACTTCAGGGAAGGGGTGGGAATGGGGGCAGGGAAGGGGTGGGAAGAGGCGGGGCCTCATGGAAGTAAGGGGCAAGGCTGGGGGCAGTGAGGGGAGGGTGTGTCAGTGATGCGGCCCTCGGGCCAATGAACTAGCCCTCATGTGGCCCTCGTGGTCATTTGAGTTTCCGACCCCTGTTCTAAACCTACTGGTTATGTCCGTGTGTGCTTAAATCTAATAAACTTCAGTGTTAGATAGAGCACGCTGACTTGCATGAGTCTTATCAGCCGGAATTGCTGTATTCCCACTGATTTATTCCTGACAGTGCCTGGAGTGAATAGTGAAGTTGCCCCTGTTGGGGGTTCTGAAAACCCCAGGTAACAGTACCAAATAGCAATCCAGGAAAACAGGGGGGGCATGACGCATGCCACTAAAATCTACCCTTCTGATTCTGACCCTTGAAAACCTGAATAGTCACAACCAAAAAGGTCCAGTGATCCTGATCCCCACAAAAGCCAAGTGCCATCGCACAAGCTATCAAATCACTACTGCGAACAGAATTGAATAATAAACATTGGGGAAGTTTTAAATGAGCCCTGATCTGCCTCTCTCGGACTTTGTCACTACCTCTGCAGCTAACCACTGAAAGGAAGGGTGGAGTAGCTGGGGCCACATCTCTCTTATAACCTCAGCCTCAAGTATTCAGTGCTGTGAGCGTGCTGTCATGTCACCTCATCTGGCACTACTTTCACCAGAGCTCCCAAAGCTCAGAGGGGCGGGGCTGGGGATCCTTCCAGAAGCCACCTCGAAAGAAGAATAGTTCACTGCATTGTGGGCGTTGAACACAGTAGGTGGTTTCTAGGATAAGGTAAACATACTGCACAGAAGCAGCACATAGGGCTTCACTGGAAGTCAGAATTAGGCAAGGAACAGATGCCAGAAATACGGTATTGGAAAGGTTTTAAACCAGTTTTCAAATGATTGGATAAACATCGGAAAACACCAAGCTACCTGTCTTTTCATTTCATTCAGCCAGGCATTACAGAAGAATAACTTCCAGAGAGATACAAAGATGGCACACAAAGAAAAGCTGCGTCTTCATTTCTCTCTCAGGCATTTTCAACTGAGAGTTTCCAAACCGAAACGTTGGCGGTGGCCCCTTATTCATGGTCATTTGCCTTCACCAACGGGACAGCATTCAGAGAACAGCAGTTTGGCATGAGGCTGGAAGGAACGATTTATGAGGAAAGATAAAAAGAACTAAAATATCAGTAGTTTGGCTAAGCAGTGATTAAGGGGATCATGACAACAGACTACAAATATTTGAAGAGTATCTACACCTAGGAAGGGGAGGAACTAGTGCTTACATAATATGGGGATCGTTCCCCACACATAGTTACAAGGGAGTGTAACCAAGAGTAACGAGATAAAACCAACATATGGAAGACGTAAGCTGAATATGAGGAAACACTTCCTGACACAGAGAGATGTTTGCCAAGATTTTCACAAGTGAATAATGACTTTGAGTGTCCCAATTTTGGGGTTCCTAACTTGAGATATCTTATAGGTGCTGGTTTTCAGAAAGGACAGAGCGCCTGCCCTCTGAAAATCAGGCCTTTTAAGATGTCTTAAATCACTTATTATGAAAATGTTTGTCTTTAGTCTATTAGTCTCCAAAGAGCCCCTTTCACTTGGGACTTGTAAAAGTAGAATGGAAACACTGGAAACACCACTGCAGGTCAAAATCCTGCACTAGCAGGGAGAGCGCTTTTCTACCTACAGCGTGTAAGGTTCTAGTGGGTAATAAGAGAAAACAGCCAATTTGAGCTGTAATAATTTGAGAGTTTATGCTACAAATATGCAAATGAAGACAATTTAGGCTGTCAAAGTTTAAAGACAGATACAAGACTTAGGAGTCTGGGAGCGTTATCCAGCTGCTCATCTGGGGCAGCAAATGACAGAATTACTTCTCTTCATCCCAGAAGTCATGTATGACAATACTATTGGGCACATTGTGAAACTTGGTTAGCTTTGAATGAAAGCTGAGCAGACCGGGCAAGGTTCCCACTTCATATAACAACAATGATGCTGACTAAGAAATGCTTTGAGGGGGAAAAGAGAAGAGATGTCAAAGGATTATATGAATGAATATACAGGAATTTGTCATATCTTATCAATACTACAGCTAAGGGTTTGGGAAGGATGCATCATCTAAGCTTCATTTTCAGCCATTTAAAACAAGGAGTAATGGTCTCAAGTTGCAGTGGGGGAGGTCTAGGTTGGATATTAGGAAACACTATTTCACTAGGAGGGTGGTGAAGCACTGGAATGGGTTACCTAGGGAGGTGGTGGAATCTCCTTCCTTAGAGGTTTTTTAAGGTCAGGCTTGACAAAGCCCTGGCAGGGATGATTTAGTTGGGATTAGGTTCTGCTTTGAGCAGGGGGTTGGACTAGATGACCTCCTGAGGTCCCTTCCAACTCTGATATTCTATGATTCTATGAAAACTTTCTCCACAAGACTTTTGTTTTTGGGGGGTGGGGGGAGGGGCTCTGATAGTTCTCATGTTTGGTCTCAAGCCCAGAAAAATTAAAAAAATAATCTTCAAAATGTATTTCGCTGCTTGACTTATCCAAATGTGAGGGGAAAGCTTTGTCAAGTGTTAAAAGGATATTTCAGACACTTTCTCTGCTTTATAGCTGAAAACTTTTAAACACTGCAAACTAGGCCAGTACCTCATCTTGAATGAGGATGAGAACTTTTGCTTTTAAATTTTCTTCTCAAGAAATCTGGTTTTAAAATATATTGTGGACATTTAAAAACAGCATAGGAAGCATGTATTTTCTCTTATTTTCCTTAATTTTAGAGAGCAACACAGAATTTGGTTTTAAATGTGCTCATTCAAACATTTACTGAAAGCCTGATTTAAAGTCCACGAACAGGTGCCTTACCACTGATTGCTATGAGCTTCGGATCAGGTCCTACATGCTTAATCAAAAACACGTTTACAGTTTGGAAAGGACCTTGCGATCTTGCTGAAGCAAATATGATACAATCAAACTTTTC